TGTAAACCCTCGCGTCATACGTTAGAGGCTGTAAACCCTCGCGTCATACGTTAGAGGCTGTAAACCCTCGCGTCATACGTCGCCTCTGGCCATTTGTTATTTATGTATTATTGTTTTTTTTTCCTGTGTGTTTGGTATCGTGTATCTCATTTAATTTTTCATTACTTCACCTGTTGCTTGTTGTCCTGTGGCTTTGTTGATTGGTTGATGTATTGATTGTCCTCAACTGCTCCTCGTTGCCCTTATTCCTGTATAGCCATACCTGCCCCTTGTTATTCGTTGTTACCATTGTATTTAAGTGACTGCCCTCACTCCATTTGTCAGTGTTGTTACTCTGCCCATTTACCTAGTTCGGTTCCCTGTGTTGTCTGCGTACCTTCGTAGGTTTATTTATGGTTCTGTTAGCTCTGTGTTCCCTTGTTTAGTATTTGACCCCTCATTGTCCCTTCATTTTGTGGTCTTCCCCAGTGTGTTCAGCTCAGTTTCATCAGTAAACGCTTGTTGTCTCGGAGCCCATCAGTGGATCACCAGCTTCTTTCTGCCTGCGCCAGGCCGCGCCGTGACAGTTGCACTTCTGGTCATTGAATAGTCTCATAAGGTTCTTGCTTCATTGGAAGATGAAGATTTAAGCCAAACTGCCTAAACCTGGGGGAAATGTAAACACATATGGTGAAGTGTGATATGCCTCAAGCACACAGCTACATTAATGCTACATCATGTTCTTTTATTAAATCAATGATTTTCATTATCATGTGTAATGTCATGAAAAAAGCTTTTACTTTTCCCCCACAGGTGAGGAGGCACTGACCATGTACATGGACAAGAGCAAACTGGACAGGAGGATGGTGAATGCAACTCAGGGTGTGGAGGCCTTACATCAGCTCGCATCCTCCTATTTCATAGACAGGGATGCGGCCATGAGAAAACTCCATGAGATACAGATTTCCACCAATGCTATTAAGGTCTGCATTTTTTTTCCTTGGGAGAGACATAATGTAATACGTAATTATGAAAGCATATTGGTCAAGCCTGTCTGAGCATGGCATTATGAGGTCATTGATAGAGCGTCCATGACAGAAGTCTCAGCTGTTTCCTGCACCACTCTTAGCTAGAATCTTCCTGGAAACAATATGAGCTTCTTGGTTATATTATAGGTAATAGTGTCTTTAAACTGAAGAACTGTATTGCAAACATCCATCCATCTTTCCATCTTCTGACTGCTTTTCCTGGCCAGAATTGAGTGGGGGGCTGACACTTACCATCATAATCCTGACTTAAGAATATCACAAGGTGGTTTGGGAGACTCATGCGTGATCCAATTAAATTTAGCCACGACATAAAGAATCAGACCCGTAGACTGCAAATATCAAATTGCATTGAGTTGTAATTCTGTAATAGAAACAGCTCAAGTTCACAAAGCACATCTATCTTCAGACTAATGGGAACAGAGCATCCAGTCATCTGTGTAGTGAGAGGACAAGCCCGCCCTGAACGTGTAACACTTCTCAGTAGTGTACTGTAGGACGTTCCAGATCACCACTGCAAAATGGGAAACAGCCAAACATATAAATGCAAAAAATAAACAAACAATAAATAAACAAAATACATAACATTAAGTCAGATCTGGTTCTTAAGTTTTCAGTCTTGCTGTCACTGAAAGGAGCGTAACAGCCCGAAGGTTAGAGTGAATTTGATTTCAGTCACAGCCCTGTTATCATACTCTGATAACACCCAGGTTTGACAGGTTTTACTGTGGTGCTGAAATGTATTGTTTAAGGCTGCTGTGAAAAAAGCAGATGAAATATAAATTTCCCAAAAGGGGAAAGAACACGGAACAAAAGTTATTAAAAAGGAAATTATGAAGTTAAGAATGAGATGATTAAGCGGGATAGGAGCCGACCCCAACCTGGATTAGCAGTGGATTATGGATTATGTATACAGTAGATGGACATATTGCAGAAGTTGAGAGTTTTGTATAAAGAGAAAGCATCTTGTCATTTGCTGTACTGCACGGGTGTCAAACTTCAGTCCTGGGGGGCCGGAGCCCTGCACATTTTTGGGTTTCCCCTCATTTAACACACCTTATTCAGCTCCTTGTGCTAATTACCACACAGCTCTTGAGCTGAATCATTTGTGGTGGAAGAGGGAAAGAACTAAGTTACACATGGCTCCGGCCCCCCAGGACTGCAGTTTGACACCCCTGCTTTACTGGATCCTTACTTGCTGTGCCCCTGTTTGTTTATAGTAACATTGGAACGATGCCCCCCTTTCTTGCTCTTAGTTTATTTCCCTTAGAAACACCAATTTTACATTATGCATCTGGTAAGATGTTTGTCGTTTCTTCGCTAATCATTTTCCTGTAAAAAGAGAATCCAACATAAAACTCTGGCCCATTCCAAACCCTTTGTTTATACATTGTTCAACAAACAGTCTGCTGAGCCATTTTCTATAACTTTTGCAGTTTCCTGTTTTCTGCGACCTTTTAGATGTATTTATGCCCGATTCTACTGAAAGTGGAATAAAATGGAATACAGAACTGCCGAGTAGGAAAAGATAAAAATTTCCTTTCTGAAACGGAATGTCACCTACAGTACAAATTGCAGCTTTGCAAATACATAGTAATGCTAATATCCATCAAATAAACAAATATCCACTAAGCAGAATATGTATACAGAGGCAACTTTATATTTAATCTGCATAACTTTTTTTTCACCTCAGTTTCAAAAGTTTCTTAAGTAATTCAAAAAAGAAATGATTTTTATAACAGTGAATTAAAGACATCCTTTTGACCTTCTTTGTAAAAGAGGAAGATGTTGCTTTTTTCACTTGATTAATGACACCAGTGTTTACCATCCTTTCATTGAATAACCATACAGTGAGTATCTGAAGGTCACCCTCCCAAAAATATTACATAATCTGAAATGTAACTAACGCTGAGGTACCCCAATGTCTCAAGCACAACCCAACACAAAAATTACAAAACAGCTCTGCTTGGAATGGAGGAACAAGAGAGCTCCACAACACAAAAGTGTGAAAGGTTCTCTCATTTATCACTGCTGAATTTTTTGACTGAATTACGCTCCTGTCCTCCTTGGAAGACTGTTCAACACAAGCAAAGCACAAAATAGTAATATGGTGCCACATGTGTAGCTATTAATGCCTTGGCCAAAGCTGCACCTGGATGCCATAAATTCTGGAATGTCAGACTCTGGAGCCAGACAAAAAGCTCTGTCAGCTTTGCAATAGTCCTACTGCTCATTATATAACACGTTGGTTGTGTTCTATTATAACTCCAGCTCTCTGCAGTGGAGAGAATTCCATTTGTCATGCGCCCCCTGAATTCTTTAGAACTTAGCAACGCATGCAAATGCATATTGATGAGGCTTAACCCTGAGCCAGCATTACAGCAGTATGTGTGTGAATGTAAAGTAATTAAAACATATCTTTATTCAAAATCATTGTCGATGTACTGATAAAATGAATGCCTTACACTTTTTTTGCATTATTTTTAAATGAACAGGCTTACACTCATACTGCATCATGCTAAAACAAATCAGGATAAAGGGAAAAGTTTTCAATAGTACTTATTGAGCTCTCTGTAAGGACCTATTGTTTTCATCACGTAATATCCCACTTAGAACAGAATCATTGAATAAAATATCAATTCAGCAGAACAACCTCAATTAAAATACAAGCAAATACAAGAATTTAAATCCTTTGAGGTTTTGGCAAGTCACCGTCATTAACCCTGCTTAGTATATCCGCACCCACACAAAATTTCCTTTTAGAGTCACCTGCATAAAAAATATGGAGTTTTGTATGAGCACTAAGCTGAAAAACTCATCACACACTTACACTGTGTTGCTGAGCAATCTATCTGCTGCTGTCATGGTTACGTAGCACAATCATTTATTTCCAGCCTATGTGAATGTGAATCTTGGGGCAAGTGTGATTCAAACTGTCACTATCCCCTACGGACATTAGCTTAGAGGGAAAATAGATGGCAGATCCTTCAGCTATATTCAGTATTCAGACATTCATAGGTTTCATTGGCACCTCAATATATAGGTAAAATTCTATTGATTTCTCTCAGAATTTTAAATATTTGTTATAAATATTGTAAAGAAAAGGTAAATTAAGGTATTTCAAAGTGAATTGTGCAGAATATATTTTAAGAAATGTGACTGAGTAGACAAAAAAGTTAGCAAAGGACAGAAAGTCAGATAGACTATATGATGACTTACGTGTTACATAAGGGATAAAACACAATGAGGTGTGTGGTTATGTGAAAAAAAAATCTAAGAAAACTTGGCGTAATGCAGCCCAACATAAAGTGGAGGGCCACTAACAAGTTTGAGTTGATTATTTTCGTGTAACGGAACACCATAAAGTGGTATATCCCTCTCATTCCATAGATAATAGACTAAAAATAAGAATAGAATAGAATAACCTAAAATAGTCAAAGTTAATTTTACAAAAGAAAATAATTTCATTTAGCATTTAACAATGTTCCAGTGCGCTCTTAAAAATATAGACCCTATAAGGATAGAATGTCTGTTCAGGCTTCTCACTGGAAGTGGCTCATCAGATAAGTTACCATAGAAACTGTCAGCAGACAGGCGTTTGTTTTTTTGGTTTTCAGGACACTAATTCTTATTTCTGAGTAAAATGTCACACGGATATTTATATTTACATGTTTAATAAAATACTAAATTGCATTAATATAGAATGATTATTAGGCTGCTGGAGCAACCTGTACAGTTACATGAAAATAACCAGCACCCACATGACATCTCTGGACCAATAAGAAAATAGTGTTCAAGGTGTGCATATCTCTTCACCTGGAAAATAAAAGACCATTACTTATATATTAATAATTAAAACTTGGCCATTATAATATGTTTTTGTAATTATATTTGCAATGCAAAACATAAAGATTAAATATATATTGCACATTCTTTGTTTTTATTTAATGTTGACATATTGAAAACTGACCTCAGAATATTCTGAATTGCGCTATTCACAAGCCACTGAGAATCTGCATTACCAAACTCAGCCTAAACCACTACCGTGTTCATAAATGTCTGTTTAATATTACTCAGGTTAAAAATATGGAATTTTTCTACTTACATTACACGCTCATTCTTATCTTGACAAAGCTTGCTTGTGACCAGTGCATTTCTAAGCAACGGTGGTTGGGAGATGGATGGTCAGAAGGAAAGCCAATACCTTATTTGTTTACATGACTATAGCTTATTTTTGTGGTGTAACCTTACTTCTTACTATTATATTAAATCAGGGATAAATCTTCACAACACATGTAAAATATCTATACGGGATACAGTATTTAGTGGTTTCCTGGCTTCATTCATAATTTGTGCTCATGTGAGACAGATATCCAGCAATGCATGAAAAGGAACAAAACAATGAGTAAGGCCATCTCCTCTGTGTCCCTCGCAGGTCACAGAGACACGCACAGGCCCGCTGGGATGCAGCAGCTACGACAACCTGGACTCTGTCAGCTCCGTCCTCCTGCAGAGCCAAGAGAGCAAGCTACACTTGCAAGGTAACTCGGATCACTGCTGCAGTTCTGATAGCTAGTACTCACATTAGCGGGTGGAGCAGAGCTGGTTTTCTGCATGGGCCAGGTCCCTTCTCTGCATTTATATAGTCTACTCACTCCCTTCTTAATTGGCTGAAGTGCATCGGAAGTTCCCCAGCTTTGTTCACCAAACATGCTGTCGTTGCTTCAAAGGTAAACTACACTCGAGCTTTGATTTAGGGATGGCTGTCTTGACAACCGCACACAGTACTTTAAGAAACAGAAAGAAAAAAAAATACTCAGTTTGTACACAAAACTCTTAAAGGAGAAAATCTCTTGTTATGTAATTGGTATGCAGGCAGTAGCATTTTATACACCATTTGCAAAGATATATGGACATGAACCGAATAACTTTTTAAAAAGCAAATTTAGAGAGTTATTAGCAGCTAATAAAACAAAAAGATCAATGTCAAACTGTGATTAGAACATACATGCGTGATACGTGCAATTACAATTCTTTCAATAGACCTGTGAGCCATAGCAATTCAGCAATTGATGACGACGGTGATGATTATGATATTAGTCACATTGACAGTGGGTCACATTATTTCATTGCAATATTTCCTTTCCCCTTTATTGGATTATGATCTGGCAAACATTGTGAACTATAGAGCCATACATTATTTTTGTGTGTAGCTATAGCAAAAAATACAAAACAAGTGTATAGCTATCGCAAACTAACCAAAGAAAGCGCACTAAAGTAGCATCTGTATGCATGCAAAAACATTACCAAAACTGCTGAATAATGCGACATGCAGAACATATTTACCCTTGTGCATATTTATACATCACCCCCTTAAAGCTAACTGCATGCATTAGATACCCTCTGCTCGTACTTTGTACCTGCACAGGAATTGTCTCCTAATCAGCTAGTCACTCCTGGCTCATTCATGTTCCTCAGTCTGTAAATGTATCTGTCAAGCATTTGTTGTCATGGTTATGGAACATTTTATTGAAGCATTGTACAACTGTATCTGTGTGCATCATATTGTTAAAATGAATTTAGGAGCATGATGCAGCAAATTTCACGAATAAACAAGTAGTAAACAGGACAAAAGTTGAAACATATTTGAAATCATGGTTTATCCTCAGATAAAGTCACAGTAGTGGTGCATCCAATTTAAAGTATCGCTACTCAAATGAGGGAAATTATGCTTTCACTCAACTCCTACTATTGCAGTGCTGAAGTGACAATATCAACAGTATAGCAAAGTAAAACAATGGCATAATGACAACGAAAAAGTGACTCATTTATGATTGTTAGGTGAGTCATAAAAACAGCAACACTCAGTTAAGAAAACCATGCAGTTTATAAGAAAGCCCACAAAGTGGCTTAGAACAGCAAACAGATTTATCCTGAAAAACATCCCTCCATTATTATTTACTTTTTTATTTTTATTTTATTTGGGGAGTGGAAAAGTAATTTATAAGGAATATAACAGACAATGATGATAGAAGATGTATGCAATTACATTTTATTAAGTGTATGTTTGTAATCCTGCACCTACTATTTTGCATGAGGTATTTGCTTATTTGCTGCCTTCTGCTATATTTTTTGCTCAAAGTAGAAATCTGTTTATAAAATTTTACTTAATAAAATGATCAGCAGCTTTGAATGTTTTGCTGACAAAAAACATTAATAATGGAATAAGCCATCCATTTATCTTCTAACCGCTTATCTTTGTCAGGAGTAATGAAATAATAATTAAATGTTTCCATTACAAGATTAATGGAAATATAACTGCCCGGTAACTATAATTCCTTTTTGCACAATAACCTTTACTGATGAAAATGTTTAACATTTTTTGTTTTTTGCACATGTTTTGTGCAAAATTAAGGTTAATAGATACATCAAACACATTTGTGTTACACTCAACCACATTCAACACTTGTAAAAAATGCATGACAGACTCAGTATTGTGTAGATTGCTATTTTAATGGCATTTAAGGAACAAGTGTTTCTTCAACATATCAGTAAATTGTGTACATAAAGGCCTGATAGTGCACTTACAGTATAAAAATCTTACATTATCTGATGAATTTTAAGGATATCATGGTTGCCTTCCTTCAGATATTTTCACACTGTAAACACTGTTTCATACTTGTTTACATCTACCCTTTGGGAGACAAAAGAAACATGAATGACACTTGCATTTTTGTTCAGAAGACAAGGTCAACAGAGGTGAGATAGATCATTAGCACCCCAGCAGTGCAGTTCAAGACCCCAAAGTGAAATCCTGATTTTGTATTCTCTCTCTGGGGCACTCCATGGGAATCTCATATTCTGCTAGGTGGGTGTCAAATAGTGACTTAGGAGAGAACTGGGTTATCACTGGCAAGAGGTCAGGGAAAGATTTATGGTTTCCTTTAGCCGTAAGATCATGAGGGACGTGGATGTTACACAACGCAGACCCTATAAGGCTTTACGACGAGAGCTCTTGTGGTTTCACTAGTTTTCTGCATGCTTTTCCATTCTTCCATACTCCAATAATTGCTTTATGCAAAAAACAAATACCACAATACTGCCAGAAAGAGTACCACTATTAAATTATGTTATGTCTCAACAAAAGGACAGCCACTTTTTGAGACTTCAAAAAACTGTGAAATTGTGCTATTCCTACATCTTGGAGACAAGCTAACAACTAACCTTACAAAAGTATCTTTTGCAAGATATACTTAACGAAAAGTGTTTCAGGAAACGTATCGCAGCGTTAAGAGGCAAAACTTACAAACAACGTAGCGTTAAGATGGTTAACGGGAAACTCAAAATTTTGATTTGAGCCTTCTGTTCAATTGTTAGCTGTGCCTTTCTAGACTTTACAAACATAAAAATAGGAAATATTTATCAAACATTCTGACTCATCAGTCAGAATGAAGATCCAGCAGCAGAAGTGAGGAGCAGACAGTGCGTTAAACCTCTCACAAAGTCATCTGGGACAAGGCAGAAAAGTGGCTATTGTTTCGTTTATTAAGTCATAATCAAGAGAAGCCAAGAGCAGATCGAGTTCTGACATTTAGTACATAGAATTCCAAAACAAAGAGAATGTCAATGCACTAAAGACAGACCTGATGTGTCTTCCTCAAAACCAATAGTTTCAGCCTTTGTGGCTAAACAATGTGTAAAAAGCTATAACATACTGAAAAACATTCAGTTACATTTGTTTGAAGTATTTCTCTTATTTTATTGTAATAAAAGTTTAACAAACCAGTGTATTGTTTTTTGTTTTTTTTTTTTAAATCTGAGGGCCCAAACTTCTGGCCTCTAGCGTATATCATGCTCTTTCTCGGCTTCTGTGCTGGCATGATTTCTGGCAAATGAATACTTGGATTTTATGTCTTGTTCATGTTGTCTACTAATGTTTCCTCCAGATTCAGTGAAATGGTAGGAAATTCAAATACAAAAATACATCTTTATTTACTTAGTAATAATAAATTAAACATTTTATTTACATTGAGATGGATTTCTTGTATTTGTACTACATATAAATAAACAAAACAAAGTGCCTTTAAGATTGTACTGTAACTCTGCATAGGACAAGTGGGTTTGGAAAATGGATGGATGGAGTTAAATATTTATTCACCGACTCATTTACATATTCATATTACACAGTTGTGACGCTCGGCAAGAATGGAGCAGGCAGATCCCAATATGCGGGAGCAAGCGGTTTTATTATATAGATCAGGCACAAACAAATCCAGAGGGACAATCCAATCCGTTGTTATGCCGAAAAACGCATCTCTGCCGAAAAAGGCATCCCTGCCTTAGAATGCATGCCGGTGTTCAGGCAGAGGTCGAGTTCCGGGATGATCAGTCCTACACCGAAGGACGTGACGAGGAGACGAGAGACAGGAAGGAGCATGGTCGGCAAGGCAACGGGGCGGGACAGAGAAGGCAGGAAGGCAGGACACAGCAAGCAGGACGAATAGGGAGAACAGGAGACAAGGAGATTGCTCGGTAAGGCTCATTCAGAAAATGGCAACAATACTTCACGAGTAATGTCATGACAGCCAATCTTAAGTAAGATTGGTGTGCGCGTGACAACAGTAAGCCCTAAATATGCTCCCAAAATACTTTAATTTCATTTAATAGTTAGCTTAATACATTACCTTTAAAAAAATGTTTGATGACAGTATCGCCTAATGGATATTTGTCACACTAGCACATTTACAGTACAGTATACTAATGTTACTCCTACTAATTCATAGAACACGGCATTGGCTGCCGTTTTCTTTTGCATTCACAGTAAGGTAAAATCAGTAAATGAACAGGACTGTACACATTGACAGAATTCATATCCTCCTGAGACCCAAGGAAAAAAGTGTCCTTGTCTTTTGAGGAAATAAGACATCTTACAATTTAGATTTTTTCTAAGTTATTTTTAATTTGAAAACATGTCCACTTTAGTGTACAACAGCAATACATATGTTTCCTTACATCAGTGAAAAGATAGATGCAAAAACAAAATGTCCACTACAATGGACATAAATGGGTGGGGTCTCAGGAGTATATACTGTACGTAACCAAGGTACAATTTAATAAAATACGTAAAAGAAACGTACTGTACTCTACGTACAGACTACAGGTATTCAATCAATTAAAAATTGCGTAAAGACGTACAGAAAAAATAAGTTGTAAAAATACTATGTGTGCACTAACCATGAAAAAGAGAGAGAGAACAAAAATACAAACAAAAATATTTCATAAAGAACAGTAGTATGGGTACTCACCAATGATGAATATTGATTTAAGATAATGATGATTATGAGTTACCTGTGCAGTACGTTGAAAATATGAAAATGTTATGTACTGTATTGCCGGGATAGCAGGGGCAGGACGCAAGGAATCGGGGAACAAAGGGTTTAATCAAAAGGAAAAGACAAGCAGAAGAACGGAACAGGCAGCAAACTCAAAATGACGTAAATGACCGGACTTGAGAAACATACTTAAACGCAGACTTAAATAC